CATACAAGGGTCAGTCGAACCAAATCTCATCAGCTCACTTTCAAAGACAGATGCTTTACCATAAAAAATTTACCCAAAATTTCAAACTTTGTTTTCATCAAGAAAATGCAGAACCCTAACGAGAAAAGCCAAAATATCGAATTCCCAATTTCACCCAAAAATTAAAAAAAAAAAAAACACAAATGAGACCCTAAATTACTTCTTTAAGATTAATAAAGGAAGAGAGAGGTACCGAGAGGGCGGTGTCGCTTGAAGGCCGCCTGGACATTCCGGAGAAAGTTCGGCGGGGAGGAAGACGAGAACGACGAAGACGATGACGATGTGGAATCCAGGTTGACCGAACGGATCAAATTCCTCGCCGCAGCGGGTCGGACTGGAAGGTTAGCCTCCCCGTCCATGGTGGCGTCTAAGCGGCATTTCTATGTAGGGAGGGAGGAGGGCAAAATGTGAATTCGAAAAGAAGAAGGAAATGGGGGGAAATCATTCAACTGGGGAATTGGGCTTTGCGGTTTGAAATTGGGATTTTGGTCTCCATGAGAGGCACCTGAACCCTCACCACACAGCAGAGACGGTGAGCGAAGCACTGGAAATTTCAAATTTCTGCATATTGGCGCTTATGGGCCACTTATGGTTCATTTTATAAGTTGTGGCCCTAACATTTACTGACCGCTAAACTGATGCTTAGAAATCGCGTATTGCCCAAACTCTGTCCAAAAAAGCTCCAGCCCATGATTCAAAGTCGGGCAATTGAGTGGGCCCAAGCCCGCCGGACAGGGCAATCAGGCAATTCTTGCCCGGCTCCTTGTTCGGGTGCCCCTATCTAACATCAGCATCACGTTAGTCACATTTTTAGTTTTATTTTGTGTCAGGCGCGTGCAATACACAGGTGTATGATTGACACATGGGGGACAAAAAAGGCGCATAGAGGCTAGTGTTGTAGCGTACTACGCGTAAAGAGATCTGGGGCGACGTGGACCGTTGGATTTCCAACAGTAAAAAATTTGAAACGTTAGAATTTCAACCATAATTTTTTAAAATTCAATTTCAACGGCTATAACACATGGCGTGATTTGGTGTATTAGATTTATAATTGCTATATCATCTCATGATCCAGATTTTGTCGACAATTTTAGGGTTAAAATTTTCAAAAAAAATCAGAAAAATTGGCATACAGCCATTGTGCCCACATGGCACAATCTGGTATGTTGGATTGCAAAAAAAAAGTGTAATTCAACATGGCAACAGATGTAATACCCTAGAAAATTTAAAATATGTGATTGTGTGGAAATTTTTTTCGATAAGTGGAAATGACGAAAATGTTCCTAGTTGGCTAAACGTAATTTTATAAGGACGTATTTTATCCTCATATATTTTATCATATTTCTTGGCATATTTGGATAGAGCTTGATCTCACAAACGCATATGCGCAAACCGTTTGTGAAATGAAGTTATAACGAATGAGTTATGAACGAGCAAAGTTAGGGGTGAAATGGTCATTTGACCATAATTTGGATTTCTCCAGTGGCTGGGAGAGAAATGGGCACTGCCCAATCAGAAAACAAGGAAGGAAAGAAAGAAGAGAGGGGAATGGGGGGCTGCCCAATCAGGGAAAGAGAAAATGAGGGGACGGGAGAGAAAGGAAAGTACATAATCAGATCTTATTCTTGACCCGCGACTTGACCCAACGGGTCTTAGGTTTTCCAACACCTTTTCAGGCAATTTTCGGGTGAATTGCAACCACCCATCACCTGGAACCAACTCAACATCATCTCCTCTTCCTACTACACCCCAAAAATCAAGAGATTTGGCTTTGAATTTAGGAAAACCGCACCGGTGGGTGTGGCGGTTCTTGCCCGAGATCCACCAATTTTGAAATGATTTCATCCAATTGCTACCACCTATAGCATCCTCTTGAGGCTGGGAACAAAACTCAAACAACTATAAAGGTGGCGGAGCACAGGAGGTGACGGATCGAAGCCACCCATTCTTAGGGTTTCTGGCGGGTTCGAGGGAAAAGAGCCGGCCAAATTGGACTTGGCCACAGGTATAAAGTTTGCTCTACTCTTTGAGATATTCATTTCTGTAAAATTTGAGAATTTTTGGAAATAATTGAGTTTTCTAGTGAGCTAGGGCGGCTGACCGCCACCCACAGCGATGCGTGCGGGGGCGTATGGCCATAGGGCCGTCAATGCTATTTTTAGGCTAAATTAGATGTCATGAATTTAGTTTTGATATTCGTATGACGTAGGTTGATTGTTTGAACCTAAATTCACTACAATAGGTTGATTGGCCAATATATGAATCCACGATCCAATCGTTGGATCGTCACCAAACTTTGAGACCTTATCGTACGTAATATTTGAGGACCTTAGGAACTTACGGATCAGTAATCCAACATACGGATCTTCTCGAATTGGATTTGCAAGTTTGTAAAATAAAACGTTGACCGCCACTTGATTTTGTGATTTGCAAGTTTACAAGTATATATATTGGTAGGTATGGCATACCACCGGCATACAAAATCAATTACCAAAGCCTTGCCATTAATTATCGGTTCGGTAAAATGCCAACCAATTATGAAAAAATGCCAAAATTATAACAAACCATTATAAACCAACCGGTATGGTTCGGTTGGTAAATCGGTTTATGGAAAAATTTCCCACCCTTACACGTCTAGTCTCATGGCAGAGGCGAACGAGAACAACGAAGATGATGATGATGTGGAATCCAGGTTGATCGGATGAATCAAATTCCTCGCCGCAACGGGTTAGACTGGAAGGTTAGCCTCCTTGTCCATGGTGGCGTCTAAGTGGCATTTCTATGGAGGGAGGGAGGAGGGCAAAATGCGAATTCGAAAAGAAGAAGGAAATGGGAGGAAATCATTCAACTGGGGAATTGGGTTTTGCGGTTTGAAATTAGGATTTTGGTCTCCATGAGAGGCACCTGAACCCACACCACACAACAGAGATGGTCTGGAAATTTCAAATTTCTGCATATTGGCGCTTATGGGCTACTTATGGTTCATTTTATAAGTTGTGGGCCTAACATTTACGGACTGCTAAACTGATCAGCCTATGCTTAGAAATCGCGTATTGCCCCAACTCTGTCCAAAAAAGCTCCAGCCCATGATTCAAAGTCGGGCAATTGAGTGGGCCCAAGCCCGCCGGACAGGGAATCAGGCAATTCCTGCCCGGCTCTTTGTTCGGGTGCCCCTATCTAACATCAGCATCACGTCAGTCACATTTTTAATTTTATTTTGCTTCAAGCGCGTCCAATACATGGGTGCATGATTGACACATAGGGGACAAAAAAGTCGCATGGGGCTCATGTTGTAGCGCACTATGCGTAAAGAGATCTGGGGTGACAATAAAAAATTTGAAACGTTAGAATTTCAACGATAATTTTTTTTTAAATTCAATTCCGATGGCTATGACACGTGGCGTGATTTGGTCTATTAGATTTATAATTGCTATATCATTTCATGATCCAGATTTTGCTGACAATTTTAGGGTTAAAATTTTCAAAAAAATTGGAAAAAAAACAGAAAAATTGGCATACAGCCATTGTGCCCACATGGCACAATCTGGCATGTTGGATTGCAAAAAAAAATGTAATTCAACATGGCAACATATGTAATACCCTAGAAAATTTAAAATATGTGCTCGTGTGGGAATTTTTTCGATAAATGGAAATGACGAAAATGCTCTTAGTTGGCTAAACGTAATTTTATGAGGATGTATTTTATCCTCATATATTTTATCATATTTCTTAGCATATTTGGATAGAGCTTGATCTCACGAACGCGTAGGCGCAAACCATTTGTGAAACGGAGTTATAACGAATGAGTTATGAACGAGCAAAGTTAGGGGTGAAATGGTCATTTGACCATAATCTGGATTTCTCCAGTGGCTGGGAGAGAAATTGGCACTGCCCAATCAGAAAACAAGGAAGGAAAGAAAGGAGAGAGGGGGGAATGGGGGCTGCCTAATTGGACTTGGCCACAGGTATAAAGTTTGCTCTACTCTTTGAGATATTCATTTCTGTAAAATTTGAGAATTTTTTGAAATAGTTGAGTTTTCTGGTGAGCCGGGGCGGCTCGTGCGGCAGCGCATGGCCAAAGGGCCATCAATACTATTTTAAAGCTAAATTAGATGTCATGAATTCAATTTTGATATTCGTATGACATAGGTTGATTGTTTGAACCTAAATTCACTACGATAGGTTGCTTGGCCAATATATGAATCCACGATCCAATCGTTGGATCGTCATCAAACTTTGAGACCTTATCGTACGTAATATTTGAGGACCTTAGGAACTTACAGATCAGTAATCCGACGTACGGATCTTCTCGAATTGGATTTGCAAGTTTGTAAGATAAAACGTTGACTGTCACTTGATTTCGTGATTGGTAGAGATCCAACCGTTGGATCAGAATTAAATTTTAGTATGTTGTTCTAGAAGCGTAAGGTGAACTACGAATGACTTGATCTCTTCATTTAGGGTACGTAGGTAGTCTAACTAGGATGTTAGATGCAGCCATAACTAAACAAAATGATTATATTTTTTTATGTGGTTAATTAGATTTATAATTAACCATTTTTGTTTATTGTGGCCTAACTGCGTGTTTGGCTTCCGAATTAGAAATTTCGGGTTGTTACAACAGAGAGCTCCCTAAACTCGAGACAAGATCCTCGCTGGATCTTCCAATCACATCCGTTCATCGTTCATCGTATGGTCAGTTTTCATCAGGTACTGTTTATATTCAATTTTTAATAAAATTTTTTATAATAATTTATGATTGCACGATATAGGATGAACGAATATGATTTGAGGATAATATTAAGGGGTGAGTTCACACACCCCTATTTACTTCTCACACACCTTTTATTAATTTTTATCTATTGATCTTCTTCAATTCATCCGATCAAACAATCGAAAATCAAAAAATTGTGAGAAATAAAAAAAGATGTATGAATATCACATCCCTAAATTCGCATTCCCTAAACTATACCCAACCTCGCCCACCTCGCGCGACGATGTCTCTTCTTGACGTCAGCCTCACTCACCTTGCCATCACCACCGCGAGCTTCCCCTCGCCGTCTCCATAGCCCACCTCGATTCGCCGTCTCAACCACCACCTCAACACCTACCACGAGATCTTCCAGGTTCAATCTCTCTCCGTCTCTAGAAATTCAAATTTTCTTTTCTTTTAATTTATTTTTAAATTTTAAATGTTTTTGTTGATGGTTTTGTTTGTTGAATTTGATAAAATCAGGTGTTGGATCATTGTACCTTCAACACTCGAGAAGGTGATACGGGTTGAGGTCGTAAAGATGGGCATTTGTAAGTCTTATCAATCTTCAATTTTTTTCTTTCTTGCTTTTATTTAGTTTTTTTAGTACTGATTTTAATCATCTGTGTCCACTACTAATATCCTGGTATGTTCATCTGGAAATTTATTGAAGGAATTCTGATTCGCGCTTTATGGACTTTACAAATAGGAAGATGAGGAGACAATAAGAAGTACAAAAGGATGCATTTGGCTCCCATTTTTGAGGTTAATTCCATGAGCAGGTACCAAAAAACTGGCGACTAACGTGAGCTTAAAAAAAAAAAAAGTTGTTTTTCTTCTTCTTAATTTGATATAAAGTTTGAATTTTGAATTCTGGGTTGGATTTAGTTGTTCATTTAATTCGATGGATTTGATTTAAATGGAAGGACTTTGCTTTCACGATTAAGTTGCTAATTTTGCAGGTACCCTGCAATTAACAAACCAGTTGGAGTTGTGCACTGGCTTAAGCACAGTAGATGCTGAGAATGTTAATGGGGTTGTGATTGTGGATGCTGACATGATTATTCGAGGGCCGATTGTTCCTTGGGAACTTGGTGCTGAGAATGGCAAGGCTCTTCTTGCATCATATTTTTTCCTTTCATGTAAATGATACTAGATTTTGGTTGAGACCAGATTGTATAAGACAAGAGCATTGTGAGTGTCATATATTTCCATTTGAGCGTTTGTACCTTTAGTACGCGTCAGGTTTTCAATTGATTTCATGGAAATTTGTGTATATAGCGTTGTAAACCCCATCGTTGAACACCTAAGATGGTTGTACGTACATATAGAACTTTTGTATGATTATACTCGCTTTTAAACCACGTAGTATCGCGCGGGTACATGTGCCAGTGTAGTTCTAAGATGGGAAATTTTTGTTTTGAACCCATCATTTGTTTTCTTTAACACTGGAACACTATAATAAAATGTGAGGTAGAACCTTGATTAGGTCAGTTAATGTAGATGATGGGAAATTTCATGGGGGTATCAACCCAATTTAAGTTTCTTAACACTTAACATTACAACATGAATATTTGAATAGAATCCTTATGAATGGAGGGTGAACTATGACTCAACATTACAGCATAAGCTGGTTGGTTTCAAGCAGCTGGTGTCATGGTGGTATGGTGGCATAATTTCCATGCACGTCTAGTCTCATGGCGGAGGCGGAGGCGGCGCGGGCTTCTAATAGTATGTATGGATGAAGGCCTCATGGAGCTTAAGTGGAGTCAGATTCGAAGACACTAATCGATATGATAAATGGAAACATCCAGTTTGAAGTCGTATTAAAAGGTCTGCTTTATGATATACTAAGGCTTAGACAACAACTGAGGTCAGTATAGTGTTTGTGTTTGCTCCCTGTGATTGTAACCGGGCATCGCACCTTGTAGCTTCTTTTGTGTCACATAATATGGTTTTCATTGATGGGATAAGGGTGGGCTAAATAGTTGTTTAATACGCTAGCATCCAATGTAAACTTTTTCATTCGAATCTAACAAATTTCTTATCACTGACAAAAAAGAACACTACAACATTACAACATAAACATTACAATTTAAGTTTTTAACACTCAAACGCTTCATATAGTGCAAAACAAGCTTTTGGTTATGAATGGAGGGTGAGTTCGAAGTTTTGGAGGCTCCAAATATAGATGATGGGAAATATCCTTCATTAGGTGGGTACTGTAAGCTTGATACCACAACTTCCCAAAGTTAGAACATTGTACCAAGTTAGATAACAATTCAACTCTACAAACTTAAACTGTTAGGTAGTTGACCAACAACATATGCCAACCTAACAATTGTCATAAAACTCACTACAAGTTCTACTAGGATAACTACTTACATGGTGTGGTGTCTTGTGTCAATTAACATAAAATGTCAATGTAACAATATACCCGTATCATATAAGTTATTCTCAGCATAAATAAGTGGCCGAATATTCAACTTTCACCTGCACGGTTTAAGATTACAATTATTTTGTCATTTTCCCCACATTTTAAACTCTTTTTTATATTCGAATGTCCTACCCAAAATTTGAATTGGTATTCCTTCAATTTTCAATAGTACTGATTTTCGATTTGTTAAGTCTTTTGATTCCCACAGTCCATACTCTCTACTTAGCAACGGTTACCAAGCAAAGCAAGGTTTCCATCCTTTGATGTTTTTGGCATACAGTTAAATTTACTTTTCATATGTTGGCGTTAAAGCATAGAATCTGAAAAGCAACAATAAAATACTTAATTAACATGAACAACTTGGTGGTGGAATGGCTCATAAGATTTATTCATTTTTTAAATATTATTATTAATTCTAAAAATTTATGCACTAAAATGATAGAGATTTGAGTTAAACGAAATAATGAGATAACCATAATAATTAGTATTTTTGAAAATAAAATTTAAGAATTTTTACTTATAAATGAAAAGTATTATCAGTGAATTGTAATATGAAGTGTCAAACTCACTACTCATATGATTAAAAGGTGAGGGTGATTATGTATATATATTCCTAATAAATATATGTTATTATTTATTTTTAATTTTTTTGGTTATTAAAGTAGACAACTTTATTGGAATGGTGTGATTTAAGAGCAAAAGGAATCAAATAAAAAATGAAGCAGCTTTTCCTCAAAAGACTTTAAACCATATTATTGTGTAATTAATGTGTTTTAAATTTACCTTATTGTTCGCCCAAAAAGTCCTGCCTTGGGCTTAGGGTGATACCAAGCCTAGTTTCTAGTTTCTGTGCTCCCCCTCTGCCTCGCCATAAATTCATGTTGGGTTTCTGTAAACGAGCCCTGGCTGGGTGCTCTGCTTCCAAAATATGCTATAACTGTACCGGTAGACTTGGTATAGCCACATAAGTTTGAGCATATATTATGGAGCAAAAAATACTGCATAAAATTCTGGAGCAGACATGTAAATAATTACTTTCAAGTGACGATGATGTCCTTATTAAACTAACGAGTCTCACATTTGCTCAGGAAGATTAAAGGTATTAAAGGTAAGATTATTTAGTAAATTTTATCTTTATACCTTCCTAATTAAAAGTCAACTTCATCGAGCGATGAATCACAATCATATTCAATCAAGGATATTTCCAAGATAATCTCAAAATATTATTTAACAATAAAATATATTTGAGATTATTCTTTTCTCATCCATCCTATGGATGACTCATTTTGGCCAATGAGATGCCGCCATGTTAGGCCAAAATTCTACACCCTAGGCCGGCCACCTTCCCAGTGGCGGAGCTAGAATTTTCGGTGAGGAAGGGCATCTCATAAAGGTTTTTTTTTTAAGCGGATGGTATTTACAAAGCTAATATGATATATATATATCAAAATCAAATGTTCAAAACAACATATGCACATATAATATTACATACTCACAAAAAATTATAATTATCCTTGACGACTATTCAACTCAATGAGATAAATAAAAACTTTATGAACCATAAATCTCATGTAATATGTAGAATAAAGCAGAAACAATAGAGAAACAAAGAAATTTAAAACTTATTTGTTTAATAGATTTCAAATTTAGGATTATAAAAGGAGTAATTAGGTTTTCATCCTTATTTTTACTACTCTATTGATTAAAACCTTATTACTTTTCAATTTTTGATCAAGGTCCTTTGTATTAATAATATCATTAATTATTTCAATAATAAAATATTTTTTATTTCTAAATATATTCATTTAATATTAAAAATGTTACAATTAGTATATTTATATTTATGGCTAAATTTTTTATCATATATTTTTATTTTTAGTTTGTACCCATTTTTAATTTGCAACCCTTTTTTAATTTGTACCAATTTTCCTTTCAATTTTAATTTGTACCCATATATTAATTTCTTTTTGTGCCCATATTTTTTAAAGTTTTATTTGTATTGTACCCATTTTTATTTTTGCTAAATGTACCCATTTTGAAGAATGTACCCATGTTTTGATACAATAATTTTTTGGTTATTTTTTATGAATGTACCCATGTTTACACACACACACAATAGTATATTTATATTTTAATATTTTTAATCCCACAAATTATGTTTTTTATTTAAAATCTCATTACTATAAACAACTATAAATTTTAATTTTTAATTTAAAAAATATAGTAACGTACATAGAAATAAATTATCAATTAATTTTAGGGACTTGGATCAAAAATTGAAAACCAACAAAGTTTCAGTCAAACATTATTCATAACTAGGGACCGCATCCAAAGTCTCCCGATTATAAAATGTATGAGATATCAAAAAGAAAAGGGGAATTTTTTTAATTTTCATAATTAAAATTGAATGTTTTCTATTTAAAGAAAACCGAAATATTGCTTTGATTTTAAATATTATTAATTTGTGTTAAGGAGATAGATAAAATATTAAAGCTAATTGGGAGATGGGGTTATGCTTGAAACTTGGAAGGCAGGACTTGAAGCAATATAAGAATGCATAATTCCCTTATATATATATATATATATATATATATATATATATATATATATATATATATATATATATATTTGTTTTAGAAAGTTAGGATAGGCCCAGGCAACCCCTAGTCCTTAACTCCCTCCGCCAGTGCACCTTCCTATAAATACTTCATTTTCACCAGTTTTTGGTAAGTTTTTGCCACGCACTTAAGTCCTAAACTAACTCTCTCTCTCTCTCTCTCTCTCTCTCTCTCTCTCTCTCTCTCTCCAGAGAAACTGATTTAGTCATCCCACCTCGTTGGCATGCACGTGGCTATGGCCTTGATCAAAAGTGTTATTTTGTTTTATAGGTATAATTTCGTCAAGAATGAAGACGGAGAAAGTTTGCTACCACATGTATCGTCTTTGTTATGGCCTCCGAATTCAAATTCCCCTCTTCATAATTTAGATTAATACTGCTATATCGTCCTCTTAGAAAGAAAAAAAAAATGTACGACTTATCTAAATCAATATGTGTACCTACATCGGCAAGATATTGTGGAACTATTGTCATATTTATGTGTGAGACATATATTGTGTGCGGGGTGAGGAGAAAAACTTTCACATCGCATATGCCACTCTTGTGTCTATCTTTTCTTTATCACATAGAGATAGACTATACATTCGTGATAAATGGCCATGTATGACTGTGTTGGCTAGGTGTTGGCAGTTACTAGTGCATATGGTTGTCTCTTGTTTGTTATGTTGCAGAAGCTTAAGGCCCTTAAGAGTTGTCTTCGAGATTGAAATTCGCATATTTCAGGTGATGGTCATCAAAATATCACTTTTGTTAAGGAGAATCTTAGGAATATTACAAACATTTTTGTTTCCAATGGGCTTACTCAAGAGAGGTTTATTGAGGAAGTTGTAGCTAAGACGACTATTCTTGATGCTCTATGTATGCAAGAAAATTTCTGGTGAGATCGAGGCTGAGTCAAATGGGCTTACTCAAGAGAGGTTTACTGAGGAAGTTGTAGCTAAGACGTCTATTCTTGATGCTCTATGTATGCAAGGAAATTTCTGGTGAGACCGAGGCTGAGTCAAATACCATGAGGGTGATCGTAGTACTACTTTTTTCATGCTTACGCATGTGGTAGGTCTTATCTTTGAGAATTGTTACTCTTTTGGAAGATTATATTGTGCTCTATTCTCTGACTGATATTGTTGATCATGTGGTAATTTTTTATCAATCTTTATAATTCTTCCTTCACTCATTCTAGATTTGATGATGTCTATAGTATAATTCTGCCTATGGTTAGTAAGTCCGAAAATTCACTCCTTTGTTCTCTACCTACAACGTTTTCTATGGACCCTTAGAATGCACCGAGGTGGGATGGTTTTCCTGGTTCTT